CCGCCCGCGCCGCGCGGCCCCGGCGCCGCCGCGCCGCCGGCCTGCCACGCGGCAACCAGCGCTTGGTAGTGCGGGATGAGGCCTATGAGCTCGGCAGTGACGCCCCGAGCCCAGCCGTGGTATGGCGCCATCTCTGTGTCCCGCGCCAGCGCCAGGGCCAAATGGAAGGCGAGCAGCCGCAGCAGGGTCATCGGCGCGGCCTCCGCCTCGAACGTGAGCGGCCAGCCGCCGTACGCCGCGGCGGCCGGCGCGAGCGCCGCCGCGCAGCCGGGGGCGGCGGCGCAGTGGGCGGCGGCCCACGCGGTAAGTTCGGGCTGGGATGCTGGGGCTGCACTGGTGCCGCAAGTGGGGCACACGATGAGGTAGGCCTGGGGGGCAGGGGAAGGGGCCAGGGGCCGGCAGGTGGTTGGCGCCATTCGCGAGTCGGGGGGCTGGGATCAGGCACGGCAAGAGGCTGGCTGCTGCGCACAGCAATGGTAACGTGATGAGGGCAGCGGGTGAGGGGCGGCCCGCCGTTGGGCGGGCCCTTCCCCGCCCCAGGCGCCCGCGGCGCGGCGCGGCGCCCAACCGCCCGCTCGCCCGGCAGGCACAGACCGGGCCCGCAGCCGCACCTTGCCCTCACTCCTGAATACGTAGTGAGCCTGCATGTGCGGTGGCGCCGGCCGCCAGCCAGGTGCGACCCCTTGCTGCTGCAGCTGCCACCACGGCGCCGGCGAGGCCCGCAGCGTCAGCTCGACGCCGCGCTGCGGCACTGCGTCGTCATGCTGCTGGTCCGCCAAAAGCGACGGCGTCGCGCGGCACGACCACTGCGGGCGTAGCGCGGTGCTATTGAGCTGGGTGGCAAATCTTCGAGCCCTTCTCAGCAAGAATCCAGGAGGCTCTATGCTTAGAAGCAGCTTGGCCGGATGTCCCAGCTTAGGCCGCGGGTGGGATACGGTCCTTGCGCTGCGAGGGCACAGTATATGCTTTCAAAAAGCTGCAATCTCACCTTAAAATCGGTAGACGGCTCCTCCCAAGTCCCCGGGGCGCCCGCTTTCCCTGGGTTGTCCAGCAACCAGGCCGCAAAGGCGTAGCATGCCTGCCTCTCCGAACTACTCGAAGATGAGCCGATGAATGCATCTATTCCGTCGTCACCCGTGCACAGGAGGGCGCGTTCGTGCTGGTGCACCACGAGGGCCTCAGAGAGGTGCTCCATGGCCCTACCGGATAGGTTTGAAGGGCTTTTATAACCGTCACATGATCAGGTTATGGGACGAGAACAACTCGCAGATCAGTTGCATGCCGTTGATGGGTCTGAATGGGGCAACGGGCATCGCGAGGGACAACGCATCCGCGGGCACATCTTTGGGTATGACTTTACGGCGAACACCACCAAGGTGCTGGAGGTGTCCGTTCCCCGAGTGACAATCGGGCCGCACCAGCAGACCACCCAACGCCAAGCCAACCAAAGCCGCCCAGGCATAGAATGAAGCATGGCAATCCCATCGAAGTTACGCATTCGGGAGGGGCAGCGGGCTACCCGTGGCAGGGGTAGTACAGGAGGGTGAGTGTGCAGCAGGGACTGCGTCATGTTTGTGCGCAGCCTCTTCGAGGTCCTAGGGGCGGCCCGGTTCAGTGGGATGCCCACTGCCCATGATGTAGCTTAATTGGGTCCCAATGGCTGTGGTTGCAAGCAGGATCGTTTTGGTGACATTAGAAGTGAAACAGTAGCAATTTTGCTGGCTGGGCGGGCCAGCGGCAGCTGTTGCTTGCTCACGTGCCCGGCAAGCCGATATAGTGTTGAGTGAGGTTGGCAGCGCTGGGGGAACACGCAAGCTCATTTTTGCGTCATAGGAAGGATGAATCGCACACCTCATGATGAACAGACATGTGCGAGGTACTGCCTGCCATCAGCCCCTGCATGGTGGCACCCACAGTCGGGGGGCGGGGCGGGGCAACAAGACTGCAACCCGGCTGTGTTTGTGAGCTTCGGGCCTGACACCTGAAGCATGTAGGGCGGTGGTTTTCTCCAGCCAACAGCCCAACACGGTTTCCTGTTGGAGCTCAACGACCGGCGTGTCCAATTTTTCGACATATATACCTCGCACTTTACCTTTGAAACCCATTATTTCCATCTTAGCTTACCTGCGATGAATAGTGTACACACAGCAGCATGTTTGGGAGCGAACGCCCTGCTGCTGACTGTTGTTTGACTTAAGCGCCGTATGCACACGGTTTGCTGGCGCATCAGGTGTAACTGCAGGATAGAATTTACAGTTACTATTGTATTGCCGGATTGTGATCAAGCACGAAGGCCAGGAGGCAGTCACGACGAGAATAAGAACGATGGCCAACGTGTGAGTCGCGATAATCAAAGTCAACATCTAAAAGTTCTACATGAATGAACCTCAAAGCTTCCCTTGCAAGGATGCGCCACGCCCATTTGCGTTGCGCTGCGTGCGCGCCGCGCGCCGCTTCACTGCCGATTGCGCCACCGCGCCCCCGCAACACCGCGACACCGCGCCACCGCGCCCATGCCCGCCGCCGCACGCCGCCGCAGCACATACGACATCATGTGGCGGGAGGCTATCATGGAGCTGCTGGACCAGCTGGAGGCGGAGAGCCCAGAGGACGCGTCGCTCGCGCCCAAGGCGCGTCCGCCCCCCTTTGGCATGCAGCTGCATTCAGCTCGCATGGAGCCGCAGACGCCTTGCATGCAGGCGCATGCGCGTCTCGCGCCGCCTGCATGCGCAGGTCGCATGCGCGGCAGCAAGGGAGCAGCGCCAATGCCTAGCGGCGCCGTGGATCGTGCAGCTTGCATGGCAATGGGGGGCGGGGGGGGGGGGCGCCATGCGGCTTCTGCTGAGCTATGCAACCCACGCCCTCCCCATCCTCTCAAGCACCGCACCTGCCCTCCCGTACACAGGACCTTGCAGAGTGGGCGGTGATCTACATCCACTACCTCCAGATCTTCCGCCGACTGGAGGTGGCGTACGACCAAGTCGTGCACCCGCAGAAGCGCCAGGACATTAGGCGCGCCCTCGAGGCCTGCATGGGGCGGATGCTGGAGGTCCGGCACTGGATGGTGCGTGAGGCACAATCGCAGCAGCAGCAGCGGCAGCGGGCAGCGGGCGGCGGGCTTCTGGCAGCAGGCAACGGGAGTGGCAGCGGGCAGCGTTCAGCGGGCAGTGGCAGCGGGCAGCGGGCAGCGGGCAGCGGGCAGTGGGCAGCGGGCAGCGGGCAGCGGGCAGCCACCACCCCCTCCGCTCAGGGCACAGTACCTAGTGCTCAGCACTGCCCTGCCGCCCGAGCCGCCGTGCGCGCGCGCGCACGAACCTGCGCCGCGCCTCTTGCCAAAAGACAGCCCCCGCCTCTCCCAATGCGGCCGCTCCATCGCGCCCCCTCCCGCCCCCTAGCGCGCACCCTTGCTCGCACCAGGCCCCCACGCGCACCAGTCTGCCTGTTTTGCTACCCCGCTCAAACCAAACCAATGATTTGACGTTGTTTTCAATTCATCCCCAAATATCCCCAGGTGAAGCTGAACCGCGGGCTGGATTTTGTGTCGCTGGATGACGTCCTGGTGGACATGAAGCTGGCGCCTGATGCGCTGGAGGTGCCTGTTCCGCGGTATTTCGTGGAGGACAGGGCCAAGGTGGGCGGACAGGGGCGGGGTGAGAGTGCGTGTGAGTGTGTGTGTGTGTGTGTGTGTGTGTGTTCGTGTGAGTGTGTGTGTGCTTGCGTGCGCGCATGCGAAGGGGTGCAATGACGAGACGGAGACGCCTGTGCATGTGCGTGCGCATGCATGTGCATGCACATGCAAGTGTAAATAGCAGGGAGGGGTAACCTTTGGGCGAGGGTCTGAAAGCGTGCGAGCGTGCGGGGCGCATGTGTCGACGAAGCGATGTTTGTGTGACGCATGTGTGCATCTGGACTTGCCCGGCGCCTGCCTGCATATGCGTGTGTGCACACTCCCATTACAACAGGAGCTGGAAGACAGGGACAAGTTCTTGAGTGCCCTCCTGGATAAATATGATCTGGATGGCAGCAAGAATGGTGGCGGCAGCACTCTGGCCCCGGCGCCGGCGCCAGCTGGCACGGAGAGCGCAGCGGCACCGCCGTCCGAGGCCGGCGGCGGCGCGGCTCCGCGGCCGCAGCCGCCGCCGCGGCGGCCGCTCGACCCCGGGCCGGCGCTGCCGCTGGCAGAGGCAGCTGCGGCGATTGCACGCGCGGAGCGCGGCCGGCAGGCGCGCGCGCGCGCGGAGGCGGCGGCCGCTCGACGGCGGCGGCAGTCGCTTGAGGATCGGCGGGGGCGCACGGGGGTTGCGCTGGGCCGGGACGAGGCGGCCACTCGCATACAGAGCGCGGTGCGGCTGTGCGGTTGTGCGGCTCTGGGGTCGTTTGCTGTCCTCTGAAGGCGTTGGGGGGGGGGGGATTTGGGGCGGCTGCCACCTGCGCCTGGGGTGGCACCGCTTTCTGACAATGCGTATCGACGATCCAGCGCCGCTCGGCTTTCAGTGCTGCATCTCTCCCTTGCTCGCCTCAATCGGGACGCCTCCCGCGCCCGTGCGTCGCTGGGCAACGCGCGGCTCGCCCTGCCCCGGCCGCTTGCCGCCCCTGTTGCCGCAGGCGCGCGGCTTCATGTGTCGCGTCCGCGTGCGCCGGGCGGCGCAGCAGGAGCTGCAATTTGTCGGGATGCTGCCGCACGTGGGTGGCGAATTCAAACGGCGCGCGCCGACAGACGGCGCCATTGGGCGCGCGCCTCACGATCAGGACCCCTGGCCCTCCTTGCCGCGCTCCCCTTCAGCCCGTACCGGCCTGCTGTCTCCTCCCTGTGCGAACCCTCCGCCCCACTACTGCGGCCCGCCCCCTGCCCACTCTCGTGCCACCCGACGCCGCCCCAGCGCAGCCCCCAGACCCCGCGAGCGACCCCCAAGCCAAGGAGGCCTCCACCCTGGTGGCGCGCAAGCGGCTGCAGCTGGAGCACCTGGCGGCGTTTGACGACGCGGTGGTGGCGCTCAAGGGGAAAGTGCGGGAGGCGGAGGGGCAGGACATGCGGGAGGCTATACAGGACAAGGTGTGTGGGTGTGTGGGGAGGAAATCGGTGTTCCAGGGTAGGCGGGATTTTCTGCTGTTGTTGGGTGCCAAGAATGAAGCCCAAGCCGTGCTGGCAGGATGTACAGCTGTCGGTGCAAGGGTTGCATTGAGAAGGGGCTGAGGCCCTAGCACCAATGATGTAATGCTGTGTGAAAAGGCAACGGCTTGGCTTTGTACTTGCATGCACATCATAAGCGCCATACCGGGTGGCTAGCACCAACGTTTTGCACCTGGCGGCGCACACGGCGAATGATTGTGAAGGCACACACGTGCACGCGCCTGCCTGAGCTCGCTCCAAGGAAGTTGCAAGCACTGCCCGCTGCCCAGGCGATCTTAATCACCCAAAACATCAACCCGCCAAACCCTAAACCCTGACAGATCAACGCCTGGTTCATTCAGAATTGCAACCCAGAGACGGGCGCCTACCCAGACTTTCCGGACGCTGACGCCGGCGGCTCAAAGCTCATTTTGGACCCGCCGCCGCCGACGGTGGAATCGCTAATCGCCGAGAGCGCGGCTGCGGCCGCCGCGGGCGCGGGCGCCGGCAAGAAGGGCGGCGCGGCGGCGGCGGCGGGGAAGAGGGGGGGCGCGGACGCGAAGAAGGGGGGCGACAAGAAGGGGGCGGGCGGCGGCAAGGGTGAGGCTGCATGAGGGCGCGGGGCGCTGCGACTCCGCGCACCATTTGTTGCCTGAGGGATCCGCGGCATCGCGCTCCTGGGCATTCCCGTCGTCGCCGGCCCTGCAAAAGCCCGCAACCACATTGACCCACGAGCGGCTGGCTCGACACGCTCGTGCGATCCGGGCTTGGGCGACCAGACGGCGGGGACGCGGGCCCCGTGGTGGAGGAGACCATTGGCAGCGCGTTCATCCCGCTGCTGGAGGCGGCCGTCGCTGAGTACGTGGCAAAGTGGCAGGTGGGCAGGCGCCTGGGATGGGGGCTGGCGTCGGCCCCGCCCAACGCCGGCTGTGCCGAGTGCCCAGCGTCGGATGACGCCACGCGGCGGCCCTGCACAGGGACCATCTGGGGTCGCCCGAGATCTGACGCTCGGCACAGCTGGCTGTGTGGTGGCGTCGGTGAATGCTTGCTCCCACATTTCACCACAGCGGCGCGCGCGTTGTGTTGACCACACATGCACACCGTTCAGAAAACCCCCATTCTCAATTCCACGTGCGCGGTCGGCCGGCCGCGTTCGCCTCATCCACACCCTTAGAGATGCCGTTGCTTCGAAAAGAGCGTGGTCCAGATGCACGCACTGCACTTCAGGAGTTTTCTCAAGCAAAGCGCTGTCAGCCGCACATATATCAGCCCCGCGCCACCCCGATTAGATACACCGCAAACGCACCCGCTGCAACGCAACCGCATTCGCTGCAAATGCATGTCCGCTGCAAACGCATAGCCGCTGCAAACGCACCCGCCGCAGGACCGCGACGAGGGCTCCAACCTGTCCCAGGCCCACGACCCCGAGCTGGTCAAGGAGGAGCTGCGCCCCCTGGTGTTTGACGAGGTCCGGCAGCAGGTGAGGGAGAGGTGCGGCGCTCGCACGGCGGCGGCGCCGCCTGGCCTGCTGCCCTGGCCTCGGAGGGGTGTCGCCTCATCCATGTGCGCGCTGGCTGGGGCAGCGCACGGCATTCAAGGGCGCGGGCCGCCGGGCTTCCGAGCTGCTAGCACTCCACAGGGCGACGCACAGTCGCTGTGCTGCCAGCCAGCCAGACTCGCTGACACGCACGCGGCGCGCCGCACACCTCCCATGGAAAATCCCTTCCAATCAACGCGCTTAAGCCGGCGCCTGCGCGAAACTGCTCGGCCGTCACCAAAGGTCAACAACGATACGGCCCCTAGTGCGTGCATAATCATGACAAC